CGAACAGCCAGGTCTTAAGGCTTTTTCGAAAGGACATGAGGGAGGGCGCCTGTCTAATGTGTGCCGGGAGAGTGTTCCACAGCCGGGGGGCCACCACCGAGAAGGCCCTCTCCCTCGTCCCCGCCAGCCGTGCCTGTGATGCAGGCGGGATCGAGAGAAGGGCCTCCCCAGACGATCTCAAGGTCCTCGTGGGCTCGTAGGCCAAGATGCGGTCAGAAAGGTATTTTGGGCCGGAACCGTTTAGGGCTTTGTAGGCCAAAACCAGCACCTTGAATTGGGTCCGGTAGCAAATCGGCAGCCAGTGGAGCTGGGACAACAAGGGCGTTGTGTGCTCCCTGCCACCCGCTCCAGTTAGTAACATGGCTGCCGCACGCTGAACCAGCTGAAGCTTCCGGGCCGTCTTCAAGGGCAGCCCCACGTAGTACTTAAATGAAATCTGTTTTTTGTAAAACCAGGCACCGTAGCCTCCATTTCAGAGGAAGCCATAGTACAGGCAGTCCCTGAATTATGAACAAGGTTTGTTCTTAAGTTGAATTTGTGTGTAAGTTGGAACGGGTACATTATTTAAGTGTAACTCCATATATGCGCTTCAGATAGCATAAGGTAAAAGGTAAAGGTAGTCCCCTGACATTAAGTCCAGTCATGTCTGACTCTGGGGTGTGGTGCTCATCTCCATTTCTAAGCCGAACAGCCAGCGTTGTCCGTAGACACCTCCAAGGTCATGTGGCCGGCATGACTGCATGGAGCGCCGTTACCTTCCCGCCGGAGCGGTACCTATTGATCTACTCACATTTGCATGTTTTCGAACTGCTAGGTTGGCAGAAGCTAGGGCTGACAGCGGAAGCTCACGCCGCTCCCCGGAATCGAACCTGCGACCTTTCGATCAACAAGCTCAGCAGCTCAGTGCTTTAACCCACTGCGCCACCGGGCATAGGGAAAGGTATACACTAGGCTTGGGCGGTTTCGTTCGTTAATTTCGTAATTCGTTATTAATTCGTATTTAAATTAGCTTACGATCCAATATTGAGCCATGCAGGAATAGTGTGAGGAGTAAATTAGATTCGAAACAATTATTTCAATTTATTTCGTAATTATTTCGTAATTATTTTGGCATGTCTGGTGCAAGTTTTATAGTTGTTGTTTGTTTTATCACACCAACAGTCAACAACAGAAGGAGAGGGAAGCTTCAGAAGTTCCCCCTGTCCCATTTGGAGGTTTTTTTTAGCATATTGCGCAATCTCGTCCGCCAGTAACGAATCGATTCGTAATTTTACGAAATTTCGTAAATTTCGAAATTTTTAAAAGCAAAATTTCGGAATTCTTAAAAAAAAACGAAATGCAATGGACCCCTAAAAACGAAGCGAGTTTAGAAACAATTTTTTCCGTTGTTACCCAGCCCTACCCTTGTGATGTTTGTTTTTCTGTCTGTGCCCCTGTTCAGGAGATTTCACCTCACTTTCTGTCCCTGTGAGAATTAGAAATTTGAAAAATGTGGCTTGCTGTGTAAACAAGGACTGGAGTTAATGCCTTACTGGAGATGCCTTTTCTCCATGATAATAACTCTTCCAGGAATGGATTTCCCTTCCGAGGAGTAGATCTCTCTCCCTTCCTGTTGTCTCACTCCCATTCTTTTTTTAAAAAAAATATTTTTATTACTGGTAGTTCTTTTAAATAATTTTTTATTGATTTATCACATTTATTACATACTATTGCATTTTATAAATGTGATAAATCAATAAAAAATTATTTAAAAAAACTAATAAAAATATTTTTTTAAAAAAAAGAATGGGAGTGAGACAACAGGAAGTGAGAGAGATCTACTCCTCGGAAGGGAAATCCACTCCTGGAAGAGTTATTATCATGAAAGAGACAGACTCCCGCCATCAGCATCCTATGACATTGTTTTGGATGGCTCTGCAGAGTTTCTTCATGGTCTCACAATATATTCTGTACCCATTTTGTCACATGCTGTCATGACATTTATGTCCTCTCCATAAACTGAAATGATTTCACGATGAATTGCATCGGCGTTCATGCCCTTAACATTTAGGTAGCGTATTACAGTGTGAACTTCGCACTTGGATTGAAACGGAATGAGGACGCTCATCTCTAACCTTTACCACAAGGTCAGTCGATGAGCTACTGACAACTGGCACTGCTCGTTCGCTTCCTCTGGCTTCCTGCTAATTGGCAGTGATACCAACTCCCCCTGAGAAAATTCCCCATGAGAGCTATGTGCCTTGTAACCTTACTTTCTGGAGAACCCTCGTATATAAACATAGGAATCCAAACCAATTTCCATTATGAAGTACATGCCACTGTCAAAATGTAAAAGATAAGCAATGCCATCAAAGTAATTTCTGTGGAAATCCTATACCACTTTCAGTGCTTTCTATATTTTCCTAACCATCTGTTTTGGTTCCAATGCCAACAGGCAGTTGGGACAAACTTATCTGAAAACAGAAGAGTTGCTTGATCTGTATCCACTTACTCTTGAAACCTGTACTTCCAAGTGTCAGAGGTCTATTAAATCCCACCATTCCGGATGGGAACCCTGACGGCTCGCTGTGAAGCGTTTGCTCGGTTCTTTGCGGACAAAGTCGCTTTGATCTGTTCTGGCCTGGACACCATGTTAACGGCAGTCTCTGAGGATGTAACACGAGCACCTGCTTGTCCGATTTTGATGGATTCATTTCAATTGGTGAAACCCAAGGATGTGGACAAGATACTTGGAGGAATGAGGGCATGCATCCTAGACCCCTGCCCATCCTGGCTTCTAAAGGAGGCCATAGGGGGATTGGCCAAGTGGGTGAAGGTGGTGGTTAATGCCTCCCTACGGGAAGGCAAGACTCCAGCAAGCTTAAAACAAGCTGTAATAAAACCGCTGTTGAAAAAAACCATCACTGGACCCCACTCAATTCGTCAACTATTGGCCTGTTTCCAATCTCCTCTTTTTGGGCAAAGTCCTGGAACTTGTGGTGGCCTCACAACTCCAGGTATTCTTGGAAGACACGGATTATCTGGATCTGGCACAATCTGTCTTTAGGCCGGGACATGGTACCGAGACAGCCTTGGTCGCCTTAGTGGATGATCTTCGCCGGGAACTGGACAGGGGGAGTGTGTCCCTGTTGGTTCTGCTGGACCTCTCAGCGGCCTTGATACCGTTGACTACGGTGTCCTTCTGGGACGCCCCGCGGGAATGGGCCTTGGTGGCACTGTTTTTCAGTGGCTCAGGTCCTTACTAGAGGGTCGTACCCAGAAGGTGTTGCTGGGGGACAACTGCTTGACCTCACAACCATTGTCTTGTGGGGTTCCGCAGGGTTCTATACTGTCCCCCATGTTGTTTAACATCTACATGAAGCTGCTGGGGGAGATCATCCAGAGTTTCGGGGAAGCTCTTTGGACTCTTTTTGAAGATGTTCCCTGAGCAATTGCTCCCATTGCTAAAGTGTTCCTGCCATTTTAATGTTCCTTTTGCAGTTCATTCAAAATTTACCTTCCGGTGATGTAAAATAATCAGACCTGGTCCTACCTCCTGAAATAGTTCAAATTTGTACCCTTCTTTCTGTGACAGCCTTTATTTATGTATTACTTTGCAACATTTATATGCCGCCCTTCTCACCCCAAAGGGGACTCATAGCAGCTTACGAGATATATATACATACAATATATTATTAGCATAGTACAATATCAGTATTAAATATTACTATATTGTACTATACTATTATATTGTAATATTATTAGTAATATTACATGTAATCTAAATATATAATTATAATATATTATTAGTAGTAGTATTATATTGCATTACATTATAATATTATAAATATGATACGTATATACAATATATTATGTTATGTTATGTTATTAGCATAGCACAGGAGACAAGGTGGAACTGTCTTCTGGCCCCCTCTCACATCACTCTGGCCCAGAGCAGCAGTTGGTGCTGGGGGAAGGGGTCCCCAACTGATGACATATGCAGGAGACAAGATGGAACTATCCCCTCGCCCCCTCTTTCTTCACTCTGGCCCAGAGGTGATGATGGGAGGGGTCCCCAACTGATGACATATTCAGGAGACAAGATGGAACTGTCCCTTGGCCCCCTTTCCCTTCACTCTGGCCCAGAGCAGCGGTTGGTGCTGGGGGGAGTGGTCCCCTACTGATGACATATGTAGAAGACAATATGGACTGTCCCTTGGCCCCCTTTCTCTTCACTCTGGCCCAGAGCGGCAGTTGGTGCTGGGGGAGGGGTCCCCAACTGATGACATATGCAGGAGACAAGATGGAACTATCCCCTCACCCCCTCTTTCTTCACTCTGTCCCAGAGCAGCGGTTGGTGCTGGGGGGAGGGCTCCCCAACTGATGACATATGCAGAAGACAAGATGAAACTGTCCCTTGGCCCCCTCTCTCTTCACTCTGGCCCAGAGCAGCAGTTGGTGATGATGGGAGGAGTCCCCAGCCAATGACATATGAAGGAGACAAGATGGAACTGTCCCTTGGCCCCCTCTCTCTTCACTCTGGCCCAGAGCAGCAGTTGGTGCTGGGGGGCCAGGGGACAAGATGGAACTGTCCCCTGCCCCCCCCCCTCTCTTCACTAATGCATTAGAAAATTAGACTCCAGAGCTTGCTGTGCTGAAGATTTTGCTGCATAAATACATAAGGACATGTTGACTTCCAGCTCTTCTGTCAATGAGCCCATGATGGGTAATGAGAATTCGAGCCGTAATCCAGCAACAGCTGTGAAAAACCTTGTGACATCTTATAAGACTCACAGAGTTATTGCGAGTCCTTTAAAGTGCTACAGTGGTTGCCCCTCTGGAATCCAATAAAGCCAAGCAAATACAATCTCTCTTGCCTGCTTAGCCTGTGCTATTAAAAACTAGATTCTAGAAGAAAAGGGCATTGCAATATTTGCTTAGCTCTAGGCTCGAGTCAATCTTGGGGTTGAGCAGTTGAATCATGAATTATTTGGTCTTTTTGTATGTGTCTGTGTCTGCAGGGCTTGCTTGGAACCATGTGGCCTCTCCTCTGGGCGACGGTCCGGGCCTATGCCCCGTATGTCACCTTCCCCGTGGCCTTTGTGGTCGGGGCAGTGGGCTACCACCTGGAGTGGTTTATCCGCGGCCAGCCTCCTCCGCCAGCCCTTGAGGATGAGAAGAGCATTTCGGAGAGGCGCGAGGACCGCACGCTCCAAGAAAGTGCCGGGAAGGACCTCACCCAGGTGGTCAGCCTCAAAGAGAAGATGGAATTTGCTCCCCGAGCGGTGCTCAACCGGAACCGGCCTGAGAAAAACTGAAGGATCTGCCTGGGTGCCTTCGAGACCAACCAAATTTTGCCCCTTGGTTGGCAGAGTGATTCTGTTTGGATTCCATTTGGGTTCCTAATCCTATTGGTGCTTCTGCCTTGCCGGGATCAACGAATAACAGTCTGCCATTCCTGTTGCCTTCACCCTCATTTCGCACCCATGGCAGATCACTAGAATCCAAACAATCCATGGAAATAGGGATGCAGAGGAGGTACGTTGGGACCCGGCACTTATGGGACCCCACAGAACGATTTATCTCCCACCAGGCGCATTCAACACACACTGAAACTGTGTTGTTATCATGTGTTATGTATTCCCCCCCCCCCCCAATAGTTTCAGCTGAACAACATGGTCCCTTTTCTTTCCATCTTTTTTTCCTTGACATTGGCCAGATTTGACTTTCAAAACATCCCTCGTCCCTGTGAAGCGAGATTGCTTATTCACATGCCGTTGGAGACTGGCGTTTTCTATAGGACTTCTGGGTGCCAGGAGAAGTTGAAACCACCACACACAACAGGTGGTTGCTGCTTTTGTGCACTGTTGCTGCTACTCAGGAAAACTGGATATGTTTCCCCCAGGATTTTCTGTGCGGGAAAGGGGGATGGCTGACTTTTTGGACGTGGATTTACCTACCAGTGAAATTCGATATTAAAACACAGTTTGGAAATGTAGGTACCTTGTATTTTTTTGTGTGAGGTATCTGTGTTTGCAAGAGATCTTCGCTTACATAAGCATTTCTCAACCTGGGGGTTGGGACCCCTGTGGGGGGGTCACAGTGTATTTTATTTATTTATTTCGCATATTTCTACCCCGCCCTTCTCAACCCCCGAGGGCTTACAAAAGGCACAATTCGATGCCTACACAATCAATAAAAATAAAACATATATAAACAGCAATTAAAACAATTATAAACAGTTAAAAACAATCAATTATACATCACAACCAATAAAACCAATCTCATGCTCAGCGTTCGCCAGCTCAGAGTCCATAAATTCATTCCATATTGTCAGTTCCTATCAATTCTAGTCATCATTGTCCTTTATCTATCTGCCAGGTTACCCAAACGCCTGGTCCCAAATCCATGTTTTTAATTTCCTTCTGAAAGAGAGGAGGGATGTCGATGACCTAATTTCCCCGGGGAGTGAATTCCACAGGTGAGGGCCCACCACCGAGAAGGCCTGCTCCTCGTCCCCACCAATCTCACTTGTGATAGAGGTGGGGCCGAGAGCAGGGCCTCCCCAGAAGATCTTAAACTCCGAGGCGGGACGTAGAGGGAGATGCGTTCGGACAGATACGCTGGGCCGGAACCGTATAGGGTTTTGTAGGTCAAAACCAGCACTTTGAATTGTGCTCGGAACTGGATCGGCAGCCAGTGGAGCTGACACAACAGGGGGGTGGTATGCTCCCTGTATGACGCTCCGGTGAGTAATCTGGCTGCCGCCCGCTGGACTAATTGAAGTTTCCGAACAGTCTTCAAAGGCAACCCCACGTAGAGTGCGTTGCAGTAATCTATTCGGGATGTAACAAGAGTGTGGACCAGCTTGGCCAGATCCGACTTCCCAAGGTACGGCCGCAGCTGGTGCACAAGTTTTAATTGTGCAAAAGCTCTCCCGGCCACCGCCGAGACCTGGGATTCCAGGCTCAGCGATGAGTCCAGGATCACTCCAAAGCTGCGAACCTGCGTCTTCAGGGGGAGTGTAACCCTCTAACACAGGCTGTAACCCTATGCCCTGTTTGGTCTTCTATGCCCTGTTCTGTTGAGGATCTTTTCACAGGTGTCAGAGAGGTCGCCAAAGACCACCAGAAAACAGTATTTTCTGTTGGTTATGTGGGTTCTGTGTGGGAAGTTTGGCCCAATTCTATCGTTGGTAGGGATTCAGAATGCTCTTTGATTGTAGGTGAACTATAAATTCCATCAACGACAACTGCCAAATGTCAAGGTCTATTTTCCCCAAACTTCACATTTGTACCTATTGAATATTTGTGCCAAGTTTGGTCCAGACCTATTATTGTTTGAGTCCATAGTGCTCTCTGGATGTAGGTGAACTACAACTCAAAAATTAAAGCTCAATGCCCACCAAACCCTTCCAGTATTTCCTTTTGGTCATGGGAGGTCTATGTGCCAAGTTTGGTTCAATTCCATCATTGGTGGAATTCAGAATGCTCTTTGATTGTAGGTGAACTATAAATCCCAGCAACTACAACTTCCAAGTGCCAAGTTCTATTTTTCCAAACCACTGTTCACATTTGGGCCTTTTGAGTATTTGTGTCAAGTTTGGTCCAGATATATCATTGTTTGAGTCCACAGTGCTCTCTGGATGTAGGTGAACTACAGCTCCAAAATTCAAGGTCATTGCCCACCAAACCCTTCTGGTATTTTCAGTTAATTGTGGGCGTCCTGCGTTCCAAGTCTGGTTCAATTCCATTCCAGGTTAACTTTAAATCCCAGCAACTACAACTCCCAAATGACAAAATTAATTCCCCCCCCCCCCCCCAACCCCACCAGTATTCCGATTTGGGCGTATCGGATATTTGTGCCAAATTTGGTCCGGTGAATGAAAATGCATCCTGCATATTGGATATTTACATTACAGTTCATAACCTTAGCAAAATTACAGTTATGAAGTAGCAACAAAAATAATTTTATGGTTGGGGGTCATCACAACATGAGGAACTGTATTAAGGGATCGCGACATTAGGAAGGTTGAGAAACACCGGCTTATATCCTCCCAGCAAATCTGAGGGTTTCCAGCCTTTATCCCAGTAATATGCAACAAGTATTAGGTTTTCAATGCTATTGCCACATAAAATTTGGACTGGGGGAAGGAACTTGCTTGATTCACTTTGGAATGAAGTTGTTGCTAATGCTCTGGAGCAATCTTGTACAGGGCTTCTTACACTTCTCACTCTCAACCCCTTTCTGTCTGAATCGATAAATGTTTACATGAATCTGGATAAATAGGTATATAGGTAAAGGTTTCCCCCTTGATATTAAGTCTAGTCATGTCCGACTCTGGGGGTTGGTGCTCATCTCCATTTCTAAACCGAAGAAACGCCATTGTCCGTAGACGCCTCCAAGGTCATGTGGCCAGCATGACTGAATGGAGCGCTGTGGGTTAAACCCTTGTGTTGGCAGGACTGCTGAGTTGTCAAGCTACAAGCCCCAGAGCTCCCTAGCATTCAGCCATTGTGATGGAGCCCCCAGTGGCATAATGGGTTAACCCCTTGTGCCAGCAGGTCTGCAGTTTGAATCCGGGGAAAGCGGGTTGAGCTCCCTCTGTCAGCTCCAGCTCCCCATGCAGAGACATGAGAGAAGCCTCCCACAAGGATAGGAACACATCAAAACATCCTGGCATCCCCTGGGCAACATCCTTGCAGACGGCCAATTCTCTCACAACAGAAGCAATTTGCAGTTTCTCAAATAATTCCTGACACAACTCCCCTCCCCAAATCTAAAAACCTTCCTGCCAAAGTGGTACCTATTGATCTACTCACATTTGCATGTTTTGAACTGCTAGGTTGGCAGAAGCTGGGGCTAACAGCGGGAGCTCACCTTGCCCCCCAGCAAGTTCAGCAGCTCAGTGGTTTAACCTGCTCTCTCTTTCTCTCTCTCTCTATATATCTAGATGTATTTATTTATTTATCGTGTCAGCAGCAACCAGACATTTTGTTGAGATTAATTTCAACAGTTCAGCAGCAGATCAGTTGCACAACTTCAGCGCTTTCCAGTAGCTTCTTCCTGCACAGTATTTTTAGTCAACTGCTCCCACAGCCTGCAGCCACTCTGGAACTCTTTTACAGACACTTGAGCACATGGCCGGCCATTGTCAGTTTTACTATTGTTTTCCCCTCCAATCTAGATGACATTACAAACTTACCACAGCACACAGTTATATCTTGTCTTAGCAGACAGGTTCTTTTAATCAATTACATAGAGCCTTCAACGAACAGCATCACAGCACAAGGAGAGGAATATACACTGTACATGACTTCCTTATATACAATTCTATACAATTACACATAGCAATCTCTGATTGGTTCCCAACTCATTAACTTAACTCAGACCCAGGATTGCATCATTCACAATCACCTGGACTAGGCCAGAACACATTCCCCAAATGAAGCCTTATAATGCATGACTCAGCATTTCCAATAGAAGCCTATTAGCAGTGCATGACTCAGCTATATTACATTACAATACATTGTAAAACCTGACACATTTGTATTACATTTTTAACAAAAACAAACAAACAGGGAAAACTCAAAGTTTGCAAGTTTGGTAGTTGATTAAATGTCCTTTGACCAGTATCTGGCCACTTGGAGTGCCTCTGGTGTTACCGCAAGGAGGTCATCCTTTGTGCATGCTCAGGTTGCATTGCAGCAGGTGGTCGGTGGTTTGCTCTTCTCCGCACTAGCATGTCTGGATTCCACTTTGTAGATATAGATGTACATATAGATGTTGTTGTTGTTGTTCATTCGTTCAGTCGTCTCCGACTCTTCGTGACCTCATAGACCAGCCCACGCCAGAGCTCCCTGTCGGCCGTCACCACCCCCAGCTCCTTCAAGGTCAGTCCAGTCACTTCAAGGATGCCATCCATCCATCTTGCCCTTGGTCGGCCCCTCTTCCTTTTGCCTTCCCCTTTCCCCAGCATCATTGTCTTCTCTAGGCTTTGCTGTCTCCTCATGATGTGGCCAAAGTACTTCAACTTTGTCTCTAGTATCCTTCCCTCCAATGAGCAGTCGGGCTTTATTTCCTGGAGGATGAACTGGTTGGATCTTCTCGTAGTCCAAGGCACTCTCCGAACTTTCCTCCAACACCACAGTTCAAAAGCATCTATCTTCCTTCGCTCAGCCTTCCCTAAGGTCCAGCTCTCACATCCGTAGGTTACTACAGGGAATACCATAGCTTTGACATATAGATGTAACATAGATATAAACATAGATATAAACATAGATATAACATAGATATAAAAACTAAACATTTTCTAGTAATAAATCAACATTGGCACAGGGCCAAACAGGCTGATTTCCCTTTTTATGAAGTACATCTGAAGCAATTTCTGCAGAGTCCACACTGTAAACCCTGCACGTTGTTGCTAATGTTGCGTCAATGTCTAGGTAGCATTCACAAATTTAGGAGGCATTCAGAAATTCTTCCTAATTCTTTCAGAATCCCAATATTAAGATAAGGGGACACCATTTTGGAGCTGGGGCCTACAGTTGAAGAAGCAGTGGTTGAGCATCCATTCTCCAAAATACTAAAATTGTCACCACGGCTGGCTAAGATGGTGACCTCTTTGCGTTTTAATAATTCAACATGCACAGACTTTTGTTTCATACACAAAATTATTGGAAATATAGGTAGTCCCCAAGTTTTGTAGGTTTGTTCTTAAGTTGGATTTGTACAAGCACATTTTTAAAGTGTAACTCCAGTCTGTGTGTGTGTGTGTCCGAATGCCCAATCACCATCTCCCAAAGCAGTTACTATACTCCCTGCTCAAAAACGGGAAATGTAATGTTGGTGGACATGAAAAGAGATTTAAAGATGGGCTTAAAATTAATCTTAAAAACTGTGGCATAGGCACCGAGAACTGGGAAGCCCTGGCCCTTGAGCGTGGAGGTCAGCTGTGACCAGCAGTGCTGTGGAATTTGAAGTGGCACGAATGGAGGG